ATGTATATATATATATATATATTTATATGTATATAATAGCGTATAGCTAGGATAAGGCACGTTCTGACTTTTTTCAGTTTGCGTTTTTTTTTCAGGTATCCGTTGATAGTTTAGCTAAAATCAGTATATATATATATATATGTATATATATATCAATTTTGAGAGGGCAAATCTACAATATTTTAGTTTATAAGCAAAAAGCAAAATCATTTTTTACGAAAGCAACAACTGAGTTTTAGAATATATAAAATCGAACTTTTAAACTATTTCTTGAATGTGACAGAAAAACTTTCAAGTTTGAATTTGTTTAACTTTTTCATAAGTGTTGGTTCTGTTGCACGTTACAAATTTTTCTGAAAAAAGATTGGAAAAAAAAAATATTTTTCGCCGTGATCAAATAAATATAGATTTTAATTTGAAAATTTTTATGAATATCGAGAAATTTTGGTTTACATAATGCATCAATATCTAGGACAAAAAATAAACTATATTTAGGACAAGAATGCAATTATGTTTAAGACAAGAATATAATTATGTTAGTCGACAACAATGGATTTATGTTTAGGACAAAAATCGAAATATGTGTAGGACAAGAATGGATTTATGTTTAAGACAAAAATAGAAATATGTTTAGGACAAGAATGGATTTATGTTTAGGACAAGAATAAATTTATATTTTGGATAAGAATGGAATTAAGTTTAGGACAAGAATGGAAAGATGTTTAAGACAAGAATAGAATTACGCTTAGGTCAAGAACGAAAATTGTTTAAGACAAGAATGAAATTATATTTAGGACAAGAAAAAAATTATGTTTATGACAAGAATGGAATTATATTTAGGACAAGAAAAAAATTATGTTTATGACAAGAATGGAATTATGTTTAGGACAAGAATGGAATTTTTTTTAGGACAAGAATGGACAAATTTTAAAGACAAGAATGTTATTATGTTTAGGACAAGAATGGACAAATGTTTAGGACAAGAATGAAATTATATTTAGGACAAGAATGATATTATGTTTAGGACAAGAATGATATTATGTTTAGGAAAAGAATATAATAATGTTTAGGAAAAGAAAAAATTATGTTCAGGACAAGAATGATATTATGTTTAGGACAAGAATGATATTATGTTTAGTACAAGAATATAATTATGTTTAGGACAAGAATGGAATTATATTTAGGACAAGAATGATGTTTAGGACAAGAATATAATTATGTTTAGGACAAGAATGGGATTATATTTAGGACAAGAATGGAATTATGTTTAGGACAAGAATATAATTATGTTTAGGACAAGAATATAATTATGTTTAGGACAAGAATGGAATTATGTTTAGGACAAAAATATAATTATGTTTAGGACAAGAATATAATTATGTTCAGGACAAGAATGGAACAATAGAACTAGACGAGTTTATGGTAATGATGGCGCGAAGAATTCGAGACAGTAATACCATCAGGAAAATGTTTCATTTATTTTTATTTTTATTTTTTATTTTTTTTTATTTTTCTAAAATATATGATGAGCTTAGTTTCTCTTATTTTCATGTACAAATATCTAAAATCGATATGATCTCAAGTTCATTACTAAATTACTAAATCTTTATCGGTATTTCTAATTCGAGTGAGTGACGGCAAAAATAGTTATCATCGTATCTTATTTTAACCCTATCCCTGCTGGGGTACTTGAAGACCAGGATATGCTGGTCCCCCTCCCCTCTAAATCCCATGTTTGATGTCCAAATATGACAAATGATACATCATTGGAAACCTCTTGTGCTCTACTTTTAGAATCTGCAAAAAATTGCAAATTTGCAAACATTGAATTTCTTATCACAAAATCTAGTTATATATAGTAAATGTTTGCAAAAAAAAAAATGTAAAAAATGAAAACTTATACATTTTTGAAAAGCCCTTGACCATGCCATTTCAAATATGCAAAAAGTTTTGCAAAAATTTAAATAACCTGATGTTTAATTATGAAAAACTAAAAATGTGCAAATTTCTTTGACAGGTTGTTTGTTCAATCCGTTTCCTTATGTCATAGGCTTACCAAAAAGCTAAGTTTTATCAAATTCTGACAAGTGTAAGTGGGTCAAAACAAAGATTTAGTTTATTACAGGAAAAAGCAGTCATTCAGGCAGTGTGTCTGAGGACTCAGGTAGTCAGTATTAAAGCCCGGTTTTAGGCCTAAAGGGAGGGCTTTGGGTATGTAGGAAAAGTCAGAAAATTTCAACAGCCTCAGACCAATACTTTTTGAGTTATGNCCAGCAGGAATAGGGTTAAATTATTGAAACAGAAAAATTTTGTGATTTGCATCTAGAAAAATTATCTAAAGATTTTAAAAATAAACCCAAGATATTCACCGCAAAGGAAATGAGTCTTTGCCACAAAATCAAATTGTTTAGTCCTTGTATCTTTGATGGTGTAAATCTTTATAATATCCAACTCAGATTATTTGATTTAACAGAATTCTTAGTTATCTAAGGTCTCCGACATTATGTTGTAAAAATATAAGGATTAGAAAACCAGAGTTTGTGGCAAAGACTCAATTCCTTTATTGATATAAATAAGAAAAAAGCACTGAAATCTTCAGAACTTTGAACTTTGCAAATAATTTTTATGAACATTAATTTCTTTCATTAAATTTTCAAAAAAAACTTATTTAGAATGAATTTTTTGAATATGAAACAACTGTTAGGGAGGTGTTTAATGTGTTTGACTCAAACAGAGACGGGTAATTATCATTTATATCTATTTCATGTCAATCTTCTTTCAGAGGTGTATATTTGCCTTAAAAATTCCCCCTCCAACTTTTAAAAACTAATTTTTCCCCCAGAAGTTATGAAACATAGTGTTCAGCAATAAACTAAATAAACAATAGAAAATGTTCTGAACTTATTTTAAGAAGATATATGGTAATATATATTTTTTAAAGATTTTTTGGCTGAAAAAGTATAAGAAAAGAATGAAAGGCCTTTTGATTTCCCATTTTTAATTTTTCTTCCCCAAGTCGTCAAAAAGCGGGGGAAGGGGGTAAATTCTGAAAAATGTATACTCCTGTCTTGTTTATTTCAATCTATAGTTCAGTCCCTTTTCTTCATTTGTAATTTAATTCAATTAGATTTAATTGTAGCCAGTTAGCTTAATTTCTCCAACTTTGTCTTATTGTTTTCTGTACAGGGTGATTACAACTGATGAGCTTAGGAATATTATCAATTAAAAATATATTGAAAAAATTTATTTTTGAAATTAAAAATTTACTTTTTCTTTTCTTTGCATTGACAGGATAACTACGAACGACTGAGCAATCAAAGAACGAAAGGTAGAAGTTCAAATGCAATAAGATACCACTCTAGTTCTAACCATAAACGATGCCTGCTAGCAATCTGCCTGTGTTTGATTTTCTCACTCGGCAGGCAGCTTTACGTAAACCAAAGCTTATGGCTTCCAGGGGAAGCATGGTTGCAGGGAATCATGGGTCGGTTGGCCCAACACGGTAAAAAATCAACAATCAAAATTAAAAATGTTTTCTTTGTTTTTTTTTTCCTACTTTTATTTGTTGTTCAACACTATAAAAGTAGACTTTAGATCGTTTTTAAACAAATCCCAACCCTACTCTCTAGCACTAGAATTATATCATTTTCCTCTCAATATATTTCGCCAAAAACTTTGGCATCATCAGGAGTTAGTCCTTACTCTTTTGAAGAGTATTGAATGAAATAAAAATAGATTTAAATGACGTAAACAGAAATAAATCTAGGGGGTGCAATATGTGCGAAGCCCAAACATTTTTTGCCCCCCCCCCTTACGAGCTTCTAGGGGGGGGGGGCAAAATTTGAACCGGAAATTCAAAAGATTTGGTTTCTTGGATTCTTTTAAGGTACACATACACTATACAGTCTAATTAACATACAAGGACTACTTCATCTTTCTTCAAATTAATGTTTTTAATACTCTACACTCTTCAGTTTCAGATTTGAAAAGTGTGATAGCTCTGAGTTCTAGAGTTGTATAGATGAACATAAGGACCCTTTGTAGAGATGAACATAGAGATCCTTTGTAGAGATGGACATAGGGACCCTTTGTAGAGATGGACATAGGGACCCTTTGTAGAGATGGACATAGGGACCTTTTGTAGAGCTAGACATAAAGACCCTTTGTAGAGATGGACATAGGGACCCTTTGTGGAGATGGACATAGGACCTTTAGTAGAGATAGACATAAGGACCCTTTGTAGAGATGGACATAAGGACCCTTTGTAGAGATGGACATAGGGACCTTTTGTGGTGATAGACATAGGGACCCTTTTGTAGAGATGGACATAGGGACCCTTTGTAGAGATGGACATAGGAACCCTTTATAGAAATGGATAAAGGGACTTTTTGTAGAGATGGACATAGGGACCCTTTGTAGAGATGAACATAGGAACCCTTTGTAGAGATGGACATCGATTTTGTGAACAAACAAAACATTTTGTGATTGTTGTTGCCATTCAGAGAAATTAAAAAACTATCGTTTATTTTAAAAACGAACGAAAAGAAAACAATTTAAAATCATTCGAAAAATTAAAAATTAAATCAAGAAATATCGTTAAATCAATAACTATCGTTAAATCAATAACTATCGTTAAATCAATAACTATCGTTTAATCAATAACTAATCGTTAAATCATTATAACTATCTTTAAATCAATAACTATAGTTAAATCAATAACTATTGTTAAATCAATAACTATTGTTAAATCAATAACTATCCTTAAATCAATAACTAGATCGTTAAATCAATAATTATGGTTAAGTCAATAACAATCTTTAAATTATCATTAACACAATAACGTTTGATAAATCATTAAAGGTCGTCTAATTAATAAAGATTGTTGATTAAATTAAGATAGTTAATTCTATAAAGATAGTTAAATCAATAATGATCATTAAATCCAAAAATATTGCTAAATGGTAAAATTGATGAATAAAATGAGATTAGAAAAGTGATGCGAGGGCTTGGTGAAGATCTAAACCAGGAGGAGGTAAATCACCATAAATCTACATATCAGCTCAAGGGCCCGGCGTTGCCCATGGGGAAAAAATAAAGCATGAATAAAAATAAATTAAATTTTTTACCCATGAGTGTCCACGAACAATTTTATCCCATAAAACACAACACTCTTATATATGTTCCCTAAAGCCAGCCAAACGACAGGGCCGAATTGGCTGATTTCTTAAGGGAACCCAAGGGTACCCTGGGCGCAACATAGGCTAAACAAATTCTAAAATTTGTATATTTCAAAAATCAATTTTTTTCTTAAAAAATCGAAATTTAAAAAAAAAAATTTTCCACAGGCAACGCCAGACCCTTCAGCTCTTAATATATGTAATATATTTGTCAAAGGAATTGAGTCTTTGCCACAAACTCGGATTTTCTAATCCTTATATCGTTTCAACTCTATGTAGTATAGACCTTAAATATTTTAAGCTATGTTCGATCAAATAATCCAAGTGTAAAATGTCGGAGATTTACACCATCAGGATGAAAAGATTTAGGCTGATTAGAACATTTTAGTTTGTGCAAAGACGTTGTCAAATTTATCGAAGTCCAAACGTGTATCACAACTGTAAAAGAGTTACCAACAAAGGATGAGAAATTATTTAATTATTGTTCTTAAGCTTTTTGTTCCCCCTCCAAATATAAACGTTTTTTCTTTCGTCGCAAAATCAATAATTTATATCATATCAATCTAAAAAGGCAAACCACCAAATTAAACATATAGATCGTTCTATTCGACAAGTTTAAGTCGCCATTTAAATTTTCAGTGACCCTCCATGGAAAAAGGACAATGCCCGATTCAAACGTTACCTTTAAAAGCTTTTTCAGATCAAGGATGAATTAAATATCGATGTTTATAAATTCAAAAAATGATTATTTAATTGTGGTTTCTCTTTAAACGTGAATTGAGCCTTTCTACTTGCGAAAATATCTCCCCGCGCATTATTTATCAGATAAAGGATTCAAGGGTACCGTTGTGAATCGGGCATTGCCATCTTTGCATTGAAAGTCTCTTGAAATTACGCTTACAGTCTATACCTCCATGGGACAATGAAACATTTTCACAAATTACAAAATCTCCATTTATACAATTAAAAGAAAGAAAAAAGATGACAATACCTTCACTGTTTATTGATTATCGCTGTACACTGTATATTTATTGATTTAGCTGGATGAGATGATGCGGTGGGCAGACCGGGACGGGGACGGGGTTGTGGGCGTGTCCGAGTTCTCCTCCCTGATGTTTGAAACTGTTAGGTAACAGATACCTAGAAACATTGCCATCTTTTCGCTTGAAATTACAGTGTATTTTACAAATAGGGCTGTGCAGGTTTGACCTTTTACAGTTCGTTTGTAAAAGGTTAGTTTGTCTCTGTTGGAGTAAATAGTATTCTGAGTGTTAATTGACATCCCTCCGGTGGAGTAATTAGTATCCTGAGTGTGAATTGCCATCCCTCCGGTGGAGTAATTAGTATCCTGAGTGTGAATTGCCAGGTCTCCGGTGGAGTAATTAGTATCCTGAGTGTTAATTGCAATCCCTCCAGTGGAGTAATTAGTGTCCTGAGTGTTAATTGTCATCCCTCGGATGGAGTAATTAATATCCTGAGTGCTAATTGCCATCCCTCCTGTGGAGTAATTAATCCTGAGTGTTAATTGCCATCCCTCCGGTGGAGTAATTAAGTGTTAATTTCTTAATTAAAAACTAAATTTTAAAAAGTTTTCTTTTTGTTACTGAAGTTTCCGTTTGTTGCTAAAGTTTCCGTTTGTTACTGAAGTTTTCCTTTGTTACTGAAGTTTCCGTTTGTTACTGAAGTTTCCGTTTTTTACTGAAGTTTTCCTTTGTTACTGAAGTTTCTGTTTGTTACTGAAGTTTCTGTTTGTTACTGAAGTTTCCTTTGTTACTGAAGTTTCCGCTTGTTACTGAAGTTTCCTTTGTTACTGAAGTTTTCGTTTGTTACTGAAGTTTCTGTTCGTTACTGAAGCTTCCATTTGTTACTGAAGTTGCCTTTGTTACTGAAGTTTCCGTTCGTTACTGAAGCTTCCGTTTGTTACTGAAGCTTCCGTTTGTTACTGAAGTTTCCGTTTATTGCTGAAGTTTCCGTTCGTTACTGAAGTTTCCATTTGTTACTGAAGTTTCCGTTTGTTACTGAAGTTTCCGTTTGTTACTGAAGTTTCCGGTCGTTACTGAAGTTTCCGTTTGTTACTGAAGTTTCCGTTTGTTACTGAAGTTTCCGTTCGTTACTGAAGTTTCCGTTTGTTACTGAAGTTTCCGGTCGTTAACGATCTTTTTTTTAACAATGTAAATGGTTTATTTCCCAAATATATTTGTTAACTAGCTTCACATTTAACGGTTGATAAATTCGTTTACTTCTATATAATCAATGAATGGTATTTGGATTACATTTTCAGAAAACAAAGAAGTCGAAACTCAATAACTTCACTATGCTTATGAATTAAATTCTTTGTTTCTGCATTTTATGCAATTTATACCGCAAAATCGAACGATTTTTCATTAAATTCGTTCTTTTTAATATTTTTTTTTTCAAGAACAATAAATTTTGTTCATTAACGAAAACTACCCATATCATCCGGTTTTTAACATAATTCTTAGTTTATTTAAAAACCTGAATTTGTTAACGGAACGTTGTCCAACACTTCCCACAAAACGTAATAAGTTCTTCAGCAATAATGATGTCTTTTCTAAGTAGGAATAGTAAGGAGTTGTCAACCCCCAAAACTTAAAGCAAAATTTCTACTTCTAGCCATGATTTATAAACAGCATATTTTCCACTAAATATGACAATATATTTTTAGGCCTCAAAAAATAATGATGATTATGAAGTTTTCAGTTGAACATAACGTAAATAGATATCCGTTCACTGATTTAAGGGGTCTTATGGGGTTCCGGTCAACGAGGTTATAGTGAATAGAGTGGCAGGAGGCTTGGTGACGTCTAAGGAGATAAAAATACAATACAATCCATTGATGTGCGATGTAAAAAACAAAAATGTAAAGTTATTATATATTATTTTAGGACCTACTTCAGTTCCCAGGTAGTTCCGGTCTCTAAAGAAGAACCTTCTCCGGAGGCCAGTGCTTAAGAGAATGTACAGTACAATAGTACTCGAGCAGTTCAAAATTACTCGAGCAGTACAGTAGTACTTGAGCAGTACAAAGAACTCGAGCAGTACAAAAGTACTCGAACAGTACAATAGTACTCGAGCAGTACAATATTACTGGAGCAGTACAGTAGTACTCGAGCAGTACAATAGTACTCGAGCAGTACAATAGTACTCGAGCAGTACAATAGTACTCGAGCAGTACAATAGTGTACTCGAGCAGTACAATATTACTCGAGCAGTACAATAGTACTCGAGCAGTACAATAGTTCTCGAGCAGTACAATAGTACTTGAGAGTCAGAACAGTAAAGTACAGTACAACTCTAATCAGCTGACCTTGATGGTTACAAATTAGTAAAATTAGGTATCAATTGAATTATTGAATAGTTTTTGATAACATTATGTTCGTTTTGATCTTAGTCTGACATTTTTCCCAGTATTTGAGAAAAAAATGTCAAAACAATTGAAAATAAATTTGGGATCATAACGTACAAAATAGTTTTATATCAAGATTATTCGAAGAAGTAAAAGACTAAACAAAAAACTGATTTTTATTTTTGTAATAATTCAGAGAAATCAAGCCCCATCTTTAATGAAAATGCATTGAAAATTGTCAACCACAGAAACTAGAAACTTTCATAAACGCGGTTGAAAAGCAATTGTGATGTTAGTCGCGCGGTTTAAAAGTAATTTCGGGCAATCCCAAACAAATGACAAAAGTTTGTTTGAAATAATTTTAAAGATGGCGCCGGATACTAGAACAGTTTTGATAAATATCTGAGCGGGGGGTTAATTAAAATAGGAATTTACAAAAGAAATCAAACTAGAAACTTTTATAAACGCGGTTGAAAAGCAATTGTGATGTTAGTCGCGCGGTTTAAAAGTAATTTCGGGCAATCCCAAACAAATGACAAAAGTTTGTTTGATATAATTTTAAAGATGGCGCCGGATACTAGAACAGTTTTGATAAATATCTGAGCGGGGGGTTAATTAAAATAGGAATTTACAAAAGAAATCAAACTAGAAACTTTCATAAACGCGGTTGAAAAGCAATTGTGATGTTAGTCGCGCGGTTTAAAAGTAATTTCGGGCAATCCCAAACAAATGACAAAAGTTTGTTTGATATAATTTTAAAGATGGCGCCGGATACTAGAACAGTTTTGATAAATATCTGAGCGGGGGGTTAATTAAAATAGGAATTACAAAAGAAATCTAAATTTGTTAAAATTTGTAAAGTCAATTAAAATGAAATGCAACCAGTTACTCGAGGGATGGGGTGCAGAGCTGCCATGAGCCCTCAAAATGAACTCTAGAGCCTCCTGATATGTAGAATCACCAACAAGCCCTGCAAAACCGGTGGCATGGAGAGGTAGCGGGAGGCGCTGAGATGGTTTTGCGGGGCTTGGAGGGCATTCTGCTTATCAGGAGGCTCATGAGGTCATTTCACGGGACTCATGGTGCCATGCGCTCCATCCCTCTTTACTCTCATGCAGAAATTTGAAATATGAGCGTTAATGTGTAAATTAAATCAAAATGTTTAAATGTGCTAAATATTCTTGATTTACAATATTGTGTTCTAGTGCCCTTATATAAAAACTGTGAAATGTAAGTGTTCTTATATATATTTTAAAAATCTACCATTATCTTAAATTCAATGAGTTGGTTCATAACTTGATAGATTTCCAAATTTAAAAAATCAAAAATTTCTAAATTTGATTTGGACCCTTAATTGATTATAATGTACAAAAGTCCGACTATCTACATTGTTTATATAATTCATGTCAACTGTTCTCAACAATTAATCTGAACGTAAAAAAATCTCGCTCTATTAAAACAATTTTACAATTTGTTACCACTTAAACAAATTCATGACACGACAGCATTTACATTTTTTTTAAATAGGAATTTGAGGGTGGTTTATTTTAAAGATTTTGGAAACTTCTCAAATGAATTGGGAAATTCGCAAAATGTCAGGGTATTTGGGAAATTCCCCAAATGCCTGGGTATCTTGGAAATTTCCAGTCATTTGAGAAATATTTGTAGGTATTTGGAAAATTTCCCAGATACCCAGGCATTTGGAAAATTTGTATTTTTGACATTTTTGATAATTGCTGTCACTCCCTTTAAACATTTGATGTTGTCCTCTGTGTGTACTAATCCCAATGGATTCCTTTTCACTGTTTTTTAATCAAATATTTGAAAACCTTTCGAGTGAAAATATATGTATCCTCCACTGTGTATAATTGTTTTTATCTTAAACAGGGCGTCTAAAAAAACATGACATTCTGTGGATATTTTTAGATGTTTTATACCGTAATTTGTTAAGTTTTTTGATACCAAAGAGAATAATAAAGAATATTAAATAGTATATTATAGTAAAATTGATTTTAAAGTAAAATATATTTGATCAAGCGATTTCATTAACTAATTAAACTGCAAAAGTGTTTAACATCAGTGACAGAAAAAGAGATTTAAAACTATACACCAACTGTCATGTTTTGTGGGACACCGGTCCTGTACCTAAAATTTTAGAATTTGAATTTTAAAGACGAGAATATTTGATTTTCTGCAGGGTACACAGGTGTAAGAATATTTGTTAAAGGTTGTCAGAATAATGTTCAGAATAAGGTTTCCACCAAAAAAAGAGACTTCAGAGTAGGGTTTCCAATCGAAATTCCGTTGCGCGGAATTGCGCGCAACTGTTCTTGTAAAGCGAAATTGTGCGGAATAGCGCGAAAATTACACGGCTCGCAATTGCACGCAAGTAAAATTAAGTTGTTGGAAACACTATTACAGAGTGGGGCTTGGCACGTTCCAACTTTTCTAGTCGTTTCGTTAACGGTAAGTTCCAACCATTAAAAGATAAAAATTTCATGACCCGTTAATTTTAAAAGTAAAAACAGAACGTTCGTTCCCTTAATGGCATTTACCATTTTTCTTAAATTACCGTTAGATAACTATCCAAATTTTATTAACGATGTTAACGGTCTATTACATTATAAAGGGCACAAAGCGGCGAAAAAACGGTTAACGAAATTGTTATCGGCGCAGCCATTAACGGTCTATTTAAGTACTAATGGTTTGAAAAATCGTTAACGGTCTATTACAGTGTTACCTGGTTAATAAATTGTTAACGGCACAGCCGTTACGGGTGTATTTCAGTATTCATGGCGCGTTTACAGTTCAGCCATTAACGATCTTTTGTAGTAAGAACGGCTTTAATAGTTTGTCAAATCGTTAACGGCACTATAAACAGTTGAACAATATTTATCCTTTTCTGCGGACTGAGTAGTGTCTAGATATCAAAATCAACTATATTTATCCTATTCTGAGGAGAACCCAGATTCTTTTACGGCTGGAGAAACTCCAAATCTATCCAAAATTCTATTTCAAAATTCTATTCTCAGCATTTCATAATATGAACACAGAAGACGGCATTAAAAAAATCAAAACACGTGAAAATATATATTCTGGTTTCAACTGTTAAATTCTTTTTCAAAAATGGCTGATCCGTGTCGTTAAAGGTTTAAAAAATAACGGCTTTTGCCATTAATTAACGGATTCTTCTGTTAATTTTCGAAAACCTCCGTTCCGTTGCCGGAACTTTGCCCAGCCCTACTACAGAGACACGACTGCAAAGGAATTTTATTTGTCTTAATTCTTACTTTCATCATTTCATGAATCTTCCTCTGTCAAATAATTAAGTACACGTCTCCGAGTACACCATTCGCAGGCCATAGTTTAAAAGTTCCAGATAGTCATTAAAATAAATTCGCTGTGGGTATACCTGTATGATATTGCTCCACAACTCGCAAAAATAGATGTGCGAAAAATCCACGGAAAACTGCAAAAATTAAAATGGCAATGGCTAGAAATGGAAGATTTTTGGAACACAAAAAGAAAAATGTCTATAGTAGAGATGTCAACGTTTTGATTTTTCTAGATTTTAACTTTCGTTACGATAGTGTTCATCAAACGTATAAACGTTTGAATCGCTACGTTGCATATTATGAAATTTTATGGCAGAGGAACGTTACATAATGAATTTTCTGCACTTGAATACCTTATACAACGTTAAGCTTTAGTAAATGTTAGTGAAAAACAGTAAGCTCCGTTACGCTTTAGCTTTTCCTGTTTTAAATAACTTTACCAACGTTGTGTTAAAGCTTTAGTAATATATAACCACAATTTTTTAATGTTCCGCTTTCATGCTTGGTAAATTCAGAGACCTCACGTTACACTTTCAATTGGTAACAAACGTTTCACTTTAATAATATGTCATTGGGGCATAGTTTTGCACGTTGCAATGCATTTCAGTGCAAAGAATATTTTTTGTTAACATTAAGTTTTATCTTAACTATTCCGATATAAACTGTTTTAGTTACGTTTAGAAATTTTACTAAAATGCAACTTTTACGATTTAACGAAAAGTTATTGCGATAGCGTTTTTTGTTATACTATTTTACAACTGGAAATCAAAACTGTTTATTCGTTTCGTTTCTAAGAAAGACATGAAAAAGTGTTCGATCTGTTGTATTAAAATGTTTAGGCCTTCTCGTTTCTTAATTTACACTTTATTAAAAATGTTTCTAAATGAAAGTATTACAATATTTTTTCCGTTATAATTGTATTTCTACTTTAGTATTTTTCATCCTAAAACATCATGCAAAAAAATTAGTATCATAAATCCCTTTTTTACGCACCCTGTATGTTGCTGTTGTATTGTTAGCCTTTTTAGAAAATGTGTAGAAGAATGCAGAAATTTAAAGATGTTATAATATTATTATTTGAACGGTTTTTGAAATTTGTGAATGAAAGTTTTTAGTATTAGACTTTCAACTGAAAAGTGTGTTTTAAAGGTACTAGAGACGTAATTTCAAGTCACCTTCTATTTATGGAGTGGTATGTCCAGCATACATTTAGAAGACAGGAAAACGCTGGTATTTTCAAATTATCAGTCAGATAAAGGTATACATGTTACCATTGGGAATCGAGCATAGCCCTCTTTAAATGGAGGATCACTTGAAATTATCATCGTGTATTTGACAAGCTTAAAAAAATAGACATGTTTTGAACACTTCATAAAAGAAGTTCAAATTCGGCAAGGCAGACCACTTTTGAATGTTGAACAGAAGTTCTAAATTATTTTACGTTAAGTTATTATTAAGTTAATTTTTTCTATTTTAACTCAATGCAAACTGACTCTCCGGTGGATTTTCTTCTATCTAACAGAATTCATAGTTTGAAATATGTAAGGTCTACAACATTGGGTAGCAAAGATATAGGGATTAGAAATATAAGTTTGTGACAACAACTTAATTCCTTTAGACATTCTTATCTAACAGAATTCATAGTTTGAAATATCAAAATTCTGCAACACCAGCTTGCAAAGATATAGAGATTAGAATATTAAAATTTTTGACAAATGTTTAGTTATTTTTGAGTTTTATTTTATGGTACTTACAAAGTGAGTAAAAGAGCGGCATTAGCTTCAGTTTACAAACCACAATGAAAATGTTTTTGCGTTCAGGTTTGGGGTTAAAAAATAGCAAAATAAAGTAAGACAAATGCTACATTTGTTTAACACAAACAACACGAAATAAATTTTGTAACATTTTTTTAACAAATCGGATAAAAAATATTTTTTTATTCTATTTTAAAGTAACAGAAAAGGCATATGTAAAATTTCTTCAATGTCACCTTTCTTTTCCAGAGCTTTACCTGTAGGTATAAAATGCCCCAGTTTTATAAAATAAAAGTATATAGTGTCAAGTTCTAAGGTAGTGAGATTCATTAAAAAAATAAAAAGTGAGATTTGAAAATCCAAAATGAGAATATAAAATTTCAACTTTTATTTTCAAACTCTGGTATTGGCGGTAGTGAGATTTCAAAATCCCATATAAAAAATTTCAACTTTTATTTTCAAACTGAGAGAGAATCTAATGAACAGTGTACTAGAGATTGGAATGGAAACAACAATAGGTAAACATCCGAACAGTACAGTATATTGCAGTACATTAATACATCTCAATTAAAAGAAGGCATTTTATACAAACACGAGCTTTAGTGGGTTTCATATTATTGTAACGTAACGTACAAAAACACACATCTCTAGTCTATAGAAGTTAAAATGAAGATAAAGAAAATTTAACTTTTTGCATTTAGAACGAAATAAAAATTTACCACGTTGCACTTTTTGTTTGATTAATCTTAAACTGCACAGTTGTGTCACGAAGAAAACTCATTTATATTTTGCTTTATTTTTTAATATTTTACTCTATCCTAATTTCCTTCAACAAATGAATTAAGTTTATTTTTTATTCATTATTATTATTATTTTTATTATTATAATTATTATTGTTATTATTATCATTATCATTCATATTATTATTATCTAACTTTCGCATTTCTAATTTCAAGAAAATTTAGCATTTTTGAAAAACAGATTAAAGCGCAATTTTTTTACAGCGCCCCCTCCCCTGTAAGAAGAAAGTATGATTTTTGGCAAAATTTCAGATTTATCAGTATCATTATCAACTATCATTATTATTATTATTATTATGTTGTTCTTTATTCTAATGACAGCATATTGTTCACAGTTTAAAAGATGAAGGTGCATCGTTATACATCGTTAAATAAGAATCGATGGTTTTATTTCAGAGAATCTATAGCCGATGAGATTTTAAAAGCTTAAACCCGAGTAAAACCCAAACTCGGGCTTAGATAGAACCCAAGTCAGGATTGGTTCTGATTCGACCAATGAGAGACTGTTTAGCAAGCTTTCTCTCTGAAGCAGACAGAATTCAGTCAGAGCCTGTTCTCTCCATAGAAAGTGGTCGTGTAGTTCGCGTACTTTTGGGGACGATATGTTGGCCGCTAGATGTCTCATGCTAAATTCTTATCTGATAGATAGATATTCAAACTTTATGTAGATACATTATTTTCATAGTATGTTTATTTTATATATTTAATAAAATTTGACAACACAAATGATTCCCAAATTTTAAATGTACAAATATAAAAGATTTTACAAAATTTATGATCATCAGCTGCAGAAGAAATGAGCCTTAAAGAGAGAGAAACCCAAGATGGTTGGTTTTTACTAAACTCAAGGCCATCCAAAACCAGGATCTTGAGTTGAGCTTTACTTGGGTCTAAGCAGACGCAAAAACCGGGTTTTACTCGGGTATAAGCTTTTACAATCTCATTTCGGTGTTTATAGATTATGAACTTCGTGAATACTGATGGTAAAAGTTGTCTGCAATGAGAATAAATAAGTATAGATTGGAATTAAGTCGAAAAAATAGTAAAACCGCTGTTTTGTCTTACTGTTTTCATACTGCAGGTACGTATACTTAACACATTTGTGCTATATAACCTTTTTATGTAAAAAAATGTTCATGAACATATTAAATCATTATTTAATTTTCTTTTAATTAATTCTTTGTTAAACTGGCATGCATTCCCGAGTTCATTGTAGCATAAGCTTTACTTCACATTCCCGAATTCGTATTAGCATAAGCTAATAAAAAGAAGAAATGGTAGCGCATATATCCCGGGATTATACTGTATTTAGGGCGTTTGGACAGTTCATAGACAGACATTTCATAGATAGGACATGTCATAGATAGGAAATTTCTTAGAAAAGACATTTCATAGATAGGAAATTTCATAGATAGGATATTTTATAGAAAGAAATTTCATAGCAAGACATTTCATGTTAATGTAATGTCTTATCTATGAAATTTCATATCTTTGAATTGTCTTTATCTATGAAATGTCTTGTCTATGAAATGTCCTGTATATGAGATGTCATATCTATGAAATGTCTTACTATGACAAGTCTTTCAATGAATTGTCCCAATGTCTATTTTTGTATAATTTGTGAACATTTTTTGGCTCGAAGGGACTGATCTAATTCATAGGGATAGTGTTATTTCCCTTCTATGTTAATCTCTTTTCTGTGGTTGTCCGTCTATATTTCAGAGAAGATGAAATAAAATATAGTTAAGTACTTTATTATTAATCGATGCATACAAATTTAACACAACAAATTGACAGGTCCCTTGTATAATAGCAAATTTAAAAACAAAACAAAATCAGTGCTTTATAATGTCGTCTTCTTATTCCACTTCGTGAATGATTTCATACTTCCTCTGTAGGTCGCTGTTGTCGAAACATCCAAAGATATATTTTCCTTAAACAATGATAAGATAAAATTTTAAAAAAAAATAAAAGCTTTAATTTGATTTTATTTGAAGAAAATTTGTAAAATCAATTTCTGTTATTTTGAAATTATTTTTCCCACTGCAGATTTAAGTTTTTGAAATGGTACCGTCCTGGATAATTAATGGTAAAAGAGCGTTTAAAACCTATAAAAATTTTTTTTTGGTCTGTCAACGCAATCATGCTTGATTGTTGATATTTTGAGATCCTGGCCTTTTCTTTTCAGTGTTAAAAGATTCAAATGTTTTCATCGTAAAAATTTCCAAAATTGGCTTGTTTAATTTAAATACGGGTTTACCCGTAAAGGAAGAGACTAATGAAGACGACCTGAAACTCTTAAAATAAGATGATTTCAAGGTTAAATTAATTTTGTCTGTCTTGAAATAAGTCTTTTCATGACTTATTTGATGATTATACAAAGAAAGAAACAAGTTATAGTTTTAGAAAATCATGATTACGAGCTAACAGCCTGGTTATGAAATCCGTACAGTCGTCTCTGAAGTCTCATCCTTTATAGGTAACCCTGCTTGATTTGATTTATGCATCATAGTTTCCAGAAAAAAAGACTGAAGACGACATTTTATTAATCTATACCTGGACCATAGATAGTTTTCCCGAGAAGGAAGTTGGCGAAGAGAAGTTCATAGTTGGCCAAATCCAGGATATAATCTCCGTTCTACAAATAAACTATAATGATACAAAGACGACATTTGAAATCGTCTTCTTTGCTTGGTGTTCCTGTACTGTATTGTACATAAATTGTTATTTTATTTTTTGGAAATAAAAAAAATTAAAGATTAAACCATTCTTAAAAATTTTATTATAAAAATATCAAATTTACATGCAGAAAATAAAGGGTTCTTTTGAAGTATTCTGCGGTGTATTTTGGCGTGAAAATAATCTAGTACAGGGTGTCCCAATAAACATGGGAATTCAGTGACGAATTGGATATTGTCTTTGTTATGAATTAGCATTGTAATACCTAATTTCAAAAGCCATAATATTATTATGTCTGCTAGAGTTTATTTTATGAAAAGGGTAAAAGACTGTAAAGATGTGTCTATTATGTCTCCGTAAGATGAACAGTGAAGAAGGACAAGTTTACTCTGTTTGTATACTGTAATTTTCTTGTTTTACTTAGTACAACCGTATGCAGTCAAAACATAAACAAACAAAATGTGATCATAGCAGACGAAACTCTTACAAAATACAGCTTTCTCAGGTGGTATCACTATAATAAATCAAAGAATTATTTAAAAAGACGATATCGGATTCGTCATTGAATTCCTATGTTTATTAGGACACCCTGTATAATGGTTCGGTATGCTCTCTACAAAACGCGTCCAACCAAGTTTGTATAATAAGACTGGTTACTGTCAATGTGCTCCAATGCTACTAAGATAAATAGATGAAAACCTCATATGACGTCACTGATTATAGAGGCGAAAGTGATCCGTCATGTTTTTATCTATCTTATGAGACGACATTTTCCGTACACTCTGGAGCGCATCTAGAGTAACCTAGCATATTATACAACCTTGCGTCAAACATTCCTAAACTTTTTGTGGAAAAATTACTAATTCTTTCACTTTAACCAAACTTTCTTGTCCTTTTTTTCCTTAAAAAGGGTCTAAATTTTTTTTTGCTTTTAAAAACTTTTTTTAAAACTTTGTCAAATAAAGATGATCTGAATAATCAACACTCAACCTTGTCTATTAACCTTGATTTAAAAATCATTTCTAATTTATTTATATAATATTAAATTACCGCAGTCATGGTGTTATAACCATTTTCAGCCAGAGCATCAAGGTCTGCCCCCTGATCAGCAAAATACAATTCAAATTATCAACTCATTTTATTTCTTATTTGGTTAAATTAAATCACTGATCAATGGATTTTTCTCTCTAAGATATAATAAGAAATCATTCACGATAGAACATTTTGTGAAAAATGTTTGCCAATAAAATGTGATTTTGTTGAGAATTTTTAATTTTTATTCTCAAATCAATTATTTGAATTATTTTTTCCTCTTTTCCAGAAAACACCTTGTAGAAATTCCTAAAATAAAATAAAGGTATCCTAATAACTCAAAAGAAAAACTGTTTTCTGTCTACCGTCTACTGTCTACTGTCTACTGTCTACTGTCTACTGTCTACTGTCTACTGTCTACTGTCTAATGTCTACTGTCTACTGTCTACTGTCTACTGTCTACTGTCTACTGTCTACTGTCTACTGTCTACTGTCTACTGTCTACTGTCTACTGTTTACTGTCTACTGTCTACTGTCTACTGTCTACTGTCTACCGTCTACTGTCTGCTGTCTACTGTCTACTTGATGATTTTCGTCTTTGTTAATATTTCATAATTTCAATCATAGTCGCTTTAGGATTTTAAAAAGAAAGAAAAAAAGATAAAAACCATTCAATTGGTTTCTTGTTACCATTGTATCTACCTGAGATGCTGTTTAGTAATCTGATTTCCCTTATCCTGGCCTACTTGAACAGCAAACATAATCTATATAATTCGTAATTAAAACGGGTCTCTTGCAAGTTAATTCAGTACCGGAAAAAATCCAACCCTTCACAAAAAAACTTTATATTTGTTACTTTTTTAAAACTTTACTTCGTTAACAGAACTTGGCCCTAATTAACAAAAACCAAAAAATGTGTCTGAGGTATTAGACAATTTAAAAATACCAACATAAAAAAAAATAAAAATCTAAAATAAAGAACCTGAGGAATTAGCTGAACCCAGATAGGAAATCCTGACATTCCAGAGGCGCTGCAAATATTTGGAAAATAATAATTGTCAAAATATACAGGGTGAGTCAAAAAAAAGTGTGATTAGCGGCGCCTGGTGAAAAAGTGTACCTTTTTTGTGGCAACTCTTCTGTATGGTGTTTTTTAAAATTTTTTGAAAATTTTTAATTTTTTTGGTACTCCATGGTCCAAAAAAACCTTTTTTCTCTCAAAATAAAAAGTTCAGAAAAGCAAAAATCTGTATATAATTATTGCTATCGAAATCTATAATTTTATAAGAATTGAATCACAGAAAATTGACAAAATTGTAATAAGAAAATTAGCAATTTTCAGTTCTGGTCTAATTTTTAAGGAAAAGTTATTTGAATTCTCTAGTTCCTTTCTTCTAAGTATATTCAAAAGTTAAAAATATACGCTGTTCAGTTGAAACCTCGAAGAACCATTGAAAAAAAATAATAAAAATTATCATATAGGAGAGTTGCACAAAAAAGGTAAAATTTTGCACCAGACGCCAGAAATCGCACTTTTTTAACTCACCCTGTAGATAGATAGATATTTTTTATACGTTTCATGAATGATATCAAATAAATAATTGTGCAATAGTGAAGAATTATAAATAAAAAATAAAATAAAAAACATTTTAAAAAGTACTTTAAAAAATCTTGCACCGAATTATATGTGGTCTGAATGCTTTTTAATAAAAGTCTTAAATGAGATCGTGGGACTAAATTTAAAGTAGCCAGATCAATGTTTGCTTAAAACCAGATCTATGTCAGATTAATGTCAGATCAAAGCCAGATTAATGTTTGCTTAAAACCAGATCAATGTCAGATTAATGTCAGATCAAAGCCTGATCAATTTTAGATCAACGCCAGATCAATGTTAGATCAAAGCCAGATCAATGTTAGATCAAAGCCAGATAGTTGTCAGATCTATTTTAGATCAAAGTCAGATTAAGGTCATATTAGAGCCAGATCGATTTTTCCATAATGACCAGAGCTGTGAACTTTTAAAGGAAATTAATGTGTTTAACTCATAGATAAAGATAGATTGCGCATAAGACGACATTTTTCATCTTGAAACATATTAATGTACAGAGATGTTTTAAAGACATTCCTATTATATTGATTAACTAGGTCGGTTGTGAACATTGGCTGTTCTTATGTCATTGAGTACTTGTGGTGTACATGAGTTCTGTAGAGAGAAATTTAAGTTAGTTTAGTC